ACTGCGGCTGCTGGCCGCTCACGCTGGCTGCTGGCTACATACGGTAGCCCATGGCAACCCACTGCCACAGGGGCTGCAGCCTACGCCATCGCCGGTGATGCACAGCAGCCCAGCTCCAGGTTGAACTGTTGTTCAGCATCTTAACTGTGGAGGGCAGTGTCACTGGCCCTTATATGTGGGATCTGAACCGAGGCCCTCTGGCGTCCCAAGCCAGTTCTTAACCATCGTGCCACTCGGCCGGCCTCAATCAATTTTTTAGATACTTAGGTGTAAAAAATATTTTTTAATTGTACAAAGGTTAATTAATTACCAAGATTTTTTAGTACAAAGATAAGATCTTATTTTGTGATCTTCATAGCTAATGTTTATCTTATTTATTTTCAGTTTTTACACATTTTATTTGAATATTAAGAATAATGATTCATAGTTAGAAATTTTAATGAAAGTACTATACATATATCTTGCTAATATAGTTAATGTATATATTCATCATATGCTTTTAGGTGTTAGCAAATAGAATCAATTTCTCACAAAATTATGCATTCTAATGTTCTGTAACATCAAACAATTTATTACTAATCTATGTTCTTAAACCATTTCCTGCTTTTTATTTACTGAAAAACAATGAGATCTTGCTTTTTATTTACTGTAAAACAATGAGATGATGAATTAAGATAACCTTGTTATGGATGTTGAATCTAAGGTTAAATACTTTTTGGTAGTTTTACACTCATTCACTTTAAGAACTAAAATGTAGCATTATTGCAGTTGAACTGAGAGTTGTAGACACTTTTTTTTTTTTATTGTTACAGTTGACCTCTTTCATGCAGACCTTTATGGGATTTATTGTAATTAAATAGGGAGCATAATTGTAACTGTCTCAGAGAGATGTTGAGAGTTTTATGTGAGATACTTGTAGAATATTGGGAACAATGCCTGGCAAAGAGTGCATGCTCAGTTAATATTAGCTCTTATTAGAAGTATTATGAGTAGTATTGGGGTTGCTTAAAATAACTTTATTTTTGCTCATTTTGAAGAAGTGGTCTTTGAGCCCCAGTTGTTATTTACCTAATATTTAATGAGCAGCTCCTGGGTGACAGGCACTGTTAGATGTTTTCATGCACATTATCTTGACTAACTGTACCTGCCAGCTCCCATTTTGATGATGAGAGTATTAGGCTCTGAGAGGTTAAGTCATTTAGCTGTGGTAGCACAGTAAGAGGTAGGCTTTCTAGTATAAGCGACCAAAGCTTGTCGCCTGACACTAACATATCTTAAAGGCCTTTTAAATTTTATCATCATCACTTATTTGATTGATGTTTATATTGGATACTTCTTTATATGCAGAACTGTATGGTATGGGCTGTGGAGATTTTAAAAAATCGAGTTTTGTACACTGTCTTATAGTGTTGGAGATAGCTATGATATAAGGTAGAAAGTGATACTATTATAAATTATATACATTTAGAGGAGGGAAATTTTCCTTACATTCAGGGAATAAGTTCAGTCAGGGTTGTTTTCTTGAAAATGGGGTTAACATTTAAACTAAGTGGCTTAGGAGTACTGGGAAATATATGTATGTATGTATATCTATATATAGATATATATAGATATATATAGATATATATGGTGGAATTAGGACAGAAACATGAGATGTTTATAGAAAACAATGAATAGTTTTGGCTACTGTGTATAGCGTGTGAATGGGTGTAGGGGAAATTAGATTGGAAGGGTAAATTTAGGGCCAAATTGTGTAGCGCCTTGAAAACTTGACTAATTATTTTGAACTCATACATCATTTATTAGTTCAATAAGTTTTTTAGCCATTGTAGAAGCTAATTACATATGGTTTTGGAGAAATAAAGTTGAATGAGAAATTTAGACCATAGTGAAATTTTATTATTAAGCAGGGAGATGGTGGGCATGTAGAATAGTAGAGAGAGCACTTTGTTAGGAGTGAGGAGGTGAAATTTCCAGTCCTGGCCCTGTAATTAACTAGTTTTGGGGAAGATTCTTTGAAGTTCTATGGGCATTGAATTCTTAACTTAAATGTAAAATGAGGGTTTGTATAAAAGATCATTAAGACCCATAATAGATGGTGACTCATCTTTTTTTGTCCAAAGTATGACACTGAAATTAAAAAGCACTATTAATAATTAAACCCAGTAGCAACCAAATTCTACTTTTGCTTCTTATACTATTATTATGAGTACTTTCGCCTATTATATTTCAAAACTCAAATTTAAAGTATTGAAAAGGAGGATAAAGGACTAAGACAGCAATAGTAAATGTTTAAGGTTGAATAAAGTAAAGGTAGTATAAGCTGATGAAACATAATCATTTTTAAATAAGTATCTTCTTTGATGTGAGTGGTAATGATTAAAAATGTACATATAAACATAGAACTGTTTTGAAACATATATTATTTAAAATAAAGTAAACTATTCTCATAGATAAAGCTAAAAACAGTTACACATCACTGTAAGTATATACCTTAATTTATTTGGCATTTAGAGGCAGAAAGAGGTACTTCATTTACATGTTTTCCAGACATAATTACTTTTTTTTTTTTTTTAATAATAAGTCCTGTGATTTTCTTTTCTTTTTTTTTTTTTAAAGATTTTTTATTGGGGAATTGGGGGGATGGGAACAGTGCTGGGGAATTGGGGAAAGGGGAACAGACAAGTTGCTGTCGTTTTGTTCTTCAATCTAGTTGTGGAGGATGTTGCTTCTCTGGCCCAAGTTGGCACCATCATTGCGCTCTTCTCTGGCGAGGCATATCAGTCGCCGGCTTCTGGACGGCCGCTCACTGCGGCTGCTGGCCGCTCACGCTGGCTGCTGGCCACACACGGTAGCCCATGGCAATCCACTGCCACAGGGACTGCAGCCCACGCCGTCGCCGGCGACTCATGGCAGCCCAGCTCCAGGTTGAGCTGTTGTTCAGCATCTTAGCTGTGGAGGGCAGTGTCACTGGCCCTCATATGTGGGATCCGAACCGGGGCCCTCTGGCATCCCAAGCGAGTTCTTAACCATCGCGCCACTCGGCCGGCCCCATAATTACTTTTTAAAATATCTTCAGGGACTGCAGTATTTAGAGTACTTGAACCTATAATAGTTGGGCCTACCAGACTGTTGTGCTTGCTCTTTTAAATAGTCTTTTTATAGGTTTCTTTTTTTTTAAGTCTCCTCTTGATGATATTTATGCTCACTGCTGTAAATTTTCTGGCTTATATAATGGTTTAATGCAATTATGTGTGGATGTACCTCTCTCTCAATCCCCCTGTGTACATATAAGTAAGAACTGTATGAGGGCCTCAAAATTGTGTGGGCTTTAATAGCAAGTTTGATATTTTGAACTACTTTCTCATTTTTCATGTTCTAGATAAGTGATTCTCAGACATTTAATGTGCATTCAGATTACCCTGGGTATCTTGTTTAAAAAAGGTAGATTCTGATTGACTAGGTCTCAGGTGGACCTGAGATTTTTCTTTTTCAACAAATTCCCAAATGATGTGGAAGTTGATATTCTGTAGACAATATTCAGCATCAAGTTTCTAAATGTGTTATTGGAAAATTTTGGCAGTTTTATGATATAGAGTATTAAATATGGCTGGATTTTTTTTCAGAAATTGTATTAATAGTTTTAGAAAGAAAACTTAGGACTTGTAAATTTAATAATACAATTGCTTGAAATATTTGTCTTTTGTATTCACTTTTCCCTTTTTCATATGTTTACCAGTGTCTTAACTCTAATTTTGCGTCTTTCTCATTTCTTTTTTGTTGTTGTGGTTTTTGCTTTTGTTTAATGTATTATTGTGTTTTGTGGATCTGGTCAGGGAACCGTTACTGTATTTTATGTTTGTATCTACATTTTATTTTGCATGCTTAACGTGGCTTTGCCTGGATGTTCTTTTTGGTAAGTTACAAATTTATAAAAAGCATTATTGTTTTTTTGTAGTATAAGTTATAATGTTTTTCATCTTCTTTTCTCCCACTTCTAGTAATGTGATCATGCTCATGAGTTGTTTTTAATTTTTTTAAAGAGTTCAGTTGATGATTTTTTCCTAACATGTTCCAGTTTTCCTTAATATTAGTAATTTGGTACTAATCTGCTTTGATTCGTTTTATAGCCTCACACTGTCAGTTGCTGATCACTATTAGCAGTTGCTGTCTTAAGTATTTTGGTTTTTAAAAAAGCCTTAATCATCTAGAAATATTGTTCTAAAAGCTTGTGCTTTCATATAGCAATCATAAAAGAAGGTAGTTTGTAGCAAAATTAAATATTTTTGTTCTCAGTGAACAGTGCATTCTAATTTTGTTTTTACAGCAACAGCTTGCACAACTACAGAAAGAAAAATCAGAGATTTTGAAAAATCTGGCATTGTATTACTTCACATTTGTAGATGTTATGGAATTTAAGGTATGTATTTTAATATGTAAAATGTAACATTGCAGAGGTAGATTTCTATTTAATTGTACAAATTGTTTTCTCACTTGTAGATAATAAAATTACAATTCTTTTAGAACTAAAGTTTAAGATAACATTTGTGTATGGTTTCTGAATTTAATATTATTTATATAGGTAAAACATTAAAGTAAACTTTTATTTTCAGGACCATGTTTGTGAATTGCTGAATACTATTGATGTTTGCCAAGTCTTCTTTGATATTGTAAGTATTATTTTCAGAAAAATTTCCAATTCTCCTCTCTGTTTCTAGTAGAATACTTTTCTTTAGAGAAAATTTATATGACTAGTATATAAAGTTTTAGCATTGTTAATTTGGCCTGTTTTGTAGTTATTTTTTAAGGTAAAGAATTAAAATATATTCTCTATTTTTACTTTGTTTATTTGATTGTCATTGAATATAAGTCTTGTACACATTGGGAAATAGTTGTTAATTTTAGTATTTTATTATAGTATGCCCAATTAAGAAAAGTTAAGTGGATAATATCTTTCTCTGTGAAAAGCATGCTTGATAGAGCCTTTCTCAGTAAAACAATTTGTAAATATAGAAAGTCATATGAAAAATGTCTCCATTGACTTAGTAATGGTGAACCTTTTTATTTGCTTATTTAATATTTATTTTTCTTGCTTAGTGAAATTGGCTCCAGTGATTCTTATTATTCTGAGTTTGGTTATCCTTTTAAACTGTTAACAGTTTATATAGGGCTGTCACAAACTCTTTTTCATCATTAAATTGTGTCACAAACACAAAACTGTATTTGTAACTTTCAGACTTTAGGTATGTTTTTAGTGGAAGGAATTAGAATTTCAGAAATGAGGATAAAATAAATAACTATAGAAAATTATTAGCTTTCAGTAGCTGCCATGAAGATTTGTGTGTGTGTGTGTGTGTGTGTGTGTGTATGTGTGTGTGTATGTGTGTGTGTATTTAAAAGTTGTGAAATAGGGAGAAGTTAAGCTTTTTTTTTTTTCCCTAGACTGTAAACTTTGATTTAACAAAGAACTACTTAGATTTGATCATAACCTATACAACTCTGATGATACTACTGTCTCGAATTGAAGAAAGGAAGGCAATCATTGGGCTGTACAACTACGCTCATGAGATGACCCATGGAGCAAGGTAGACCTGTGTTAAAAAATCTTTCTGAATTGCTCAATTTGATGGCTTACAACTCAGTGAAATTTGATATATCTTTTTAAGTGACCGAGAATACCCACGCCTTGGTCAGATGATTGTGGATTATGAAAACCCTTTAAAGAAGATGATGGAGGAATTTGTACCCCATAGCAAGGTAAGAGTTGGTTTTTAGATGTGCTGTAATAGTCATGTGAGCTACCTTAAGTATGGATAATTAGACAGAGTGATAAATTTCTTTTAGGAAAAAAATTTTAATAGGAAATGAATAATAGGTATTTATGGTTTTATCTAATTGTGAACCAGAGAACTAATTAATTATTGCCAAATAGTGTATAGAGACTCAGGAATATATTGATTCATCATAATTTTTAGATTCAATGTTGGATGTAGAGGTAGTGGAATTTAGATCTGAGAATGTCTCCTAGCATACCAGACTGCCTGGTAATCCAGCTCTTCCATTTACTAACGGTGTAATACTGGGCAAGTTGCTTAACCAACTTCACTATACCAGAAGTGATAAAAAACTACAGTGAATGTTTAAATTGAAAAATAAAATTTTTACAGTAAAAGACACATTGCCATTAATTCTCCTCAGAATACTCCCCCTCACTTCGAACACACTTAGCTCATCATTCCACTTTCTGGAAGCAGTTCTGGAAGTCCTCTTTCGTGTCTTTAGTTGCACTGTCATGGCTGCCTCAATGTCCTGAATCTATTCAAAACGTTTACCTTTCATGGCCATTTTGACTTTGAGGGAGAGCCAGAAGTCACACAGTGCCAGATCCAGTGAATAAGGTGGATGAGGACACACCGTAATGTTTTTATTTGACAGAAATTGCCATACCAGAAGCCATGTGTGAAACGGAGCATTTACCATTGTGATAAAAAAATACCATGAATGCTGCTGCCGAGTGCCATCCAATGGAAGGCAAGGATCTTCAATACGAGAACTGGCGCTTCGAACCTTAGTAACAGTGTGTGACAAGTTTCAACTTGTTTGGTGCAGTCAGTTGGGTGTGAGCTATGTCTGAGAGAAGGTGTGTTTTAAAGTGTGCTATAAATCATCCTCCGTCATGACAACGGTCGTGTCACACATCACTTCTGGTGCAGCATTTTCTGTCAAATAAAAACATTACGGTGTGTCCTCATCCACTTTATTCATGGGATCTGGCACCATGTGACTTCTGGCTCTTCCCCAGAGTCAAAGTGATCCAGGACATCAAGGCAGCCACAACAGTGCAACTAAAGACACTCACAAAAGAGGACTTCGAGAACTGCTTCAGAAAGTGGCAAGAACGATGGGATGAGTGTGTTTGAAGCGAGGGGGCGTATTTTGAGGGGGGTTAATGGCAATGTGTCTTTTACTGTAATAAACTTTTAAAAATTTAAATATTTACCGTATTGCTTGATCACACCTTGTACATCAGTTTTCTTATCTGTAAAAATGAAGTAATGGTAGCACCTACTGCATATGATTATTACGAGGATTAAATGAGTTATTCATTAAAGTATTCAGGTAAATAGTATTTGATAAATTTTAGCTATATTATCATAATATAGCCTCTTAAGAAAGAAAATTACAGAAGTTTTGTAGAAATAATTTGGAATGTCTTTTACGATATATTAAAAAATACTTATTAATAAAATCATTTTGGTTCTAAGGAGTCTTGCCATTATAGCTTCTCTGCAATAAGGCTAATTCAAAGAACTAGAGTTTCTATAAGCACATCAAGGAAATTCATAGGTATCTCATACATCCTTATTATTTATAGATAAGGAAATTGAAGGCTGGAGAAGTGACATGACATACCATTTGGTAGCAAAATGGCAAAACCAGAACTGAAGCCCAGGATATTAGTATCTTGGTCCATTCTCTTTTGAATGATGATAATTTTTAATAATGCATTTTGTATGAATCTGTGCTGTTTTTGACATAGAGTTAACACCAAGAATTTTCCTTCAATTTTCTTTTACTCCCATGAAAATTCGGAAGATGCTGTTTCAGTTTATTTTCTTTGCATACCTGTATTAGATCCATAAATTTATATAGGTTTAATGTCTTGAAATTAGTTGAATCATTAGTTTGAAAGAAGCTAGTGGATGATATCAGTTTTGAAGTAAGTATCAGTGCTGTAGAGGGAAGTGTCAGTATTCCTTAAACTACTGAGTGTGTCACAGTCACGTGTCTCTGATTTTATTCTTTTTCTTCACTGAAAACTCTCCCGTACTCCTTTCCTGTTTTCTCTCTCAATCTGTTTTTGGCTTTTTGCCAATCATGTATGGCCTTGTTTTTGTTTAGCCACTTCAGATTTGGTTCCTTACCCACTTTTAGGTGTTGGAAGTTTCCTTGAAGGCTGTTGAGTCTCTTTTTCTTTTAAGTTCTCCATAGTCATTACTATGTACTAGACTATTAATAATTACTTGAGGAGAACTGACCATTTGGATTAGACCAGTTATTTTCTAATCTTGATTTTTCTGATGCTCCATGATACCTCAGCATTATCATGTATCGCTAGGATTTGTTTAAAATAAATTCATTTCAGTTTGATTAATTTAATTTTAACATGTTGAATCATTTGGTAGAGTGTAATAAAAATACAGATTCCTAAGTCCTACTCCCAGAAGTTCTGGTTCACTAAATTTCAGGTGGAGCCCTGTATTTTGTTCTGAACAAACTCCCCTGGCAATTTTTGTGTGGTCAGATTTAAAATTCTGTGTAGAATTTTTAGAAAGCAGAGATGAATAGCAAAGGACAGTTAAAAGCAAGGAAGAAGCAGATGAGATTAAACATTAAATACCTCAATGATAAAGCTATAACTGACAGACCAAATGTCAAATAGAAGTTAATTAATTTATTAAGATATAGTACAGTGGATTATTTATATAAGGCATTCTTGGAGTAATATGAAACATGTTGAGCTCATTAGTCATATAACCGTAATGCTTTTTTCTTTCAGTGAAAACTATCAGAGTAGAAAATGATGCATAAAAGAATGATATTAGTGAGTCCAGCCCGAGCTGAGCAGCCGCTGAGCTGCCAACAGGTAGCAGGATGGCTCAGCTTAAAAAAAAAAAAAAAAAGAATGACATTAGGCTCTACCTCTTTTGAAATAAAGATCCTGAGATTGCCAAACATTTTAATGTTTAAGAAAGTAACATGAGGGGCCGACCGAGTGGCGCGATGGTTAAGAACTCGCTTGAGATGCCAGAGGGCCCCGGTTCGGATCCCACATATGAGGGCCAGTGACACTGCCCTCCACAGCTAAGATGCTGAACAACAGCTCAACCTGGAGCTGGGCTGCCGTGAGTCGCCGGCGACGGCGTAGGCTGCAGCCCCTGTGGCAGTGGGTTGCCATGGGCTACCGTGTGTAGCCAGCAGCCAGCGTGAGCGGCCAGCAGCCGCAGTGAGCAGCCGTCCAGAAGCCGGCGACTGATCTGCCTCACCCGGGAAGAGCGCAATGATGGTGCCAACTTGGGCCAGTGAAGCAACATCCTCCACAACTAGATTGAAGAACAAAACGACAGCAGCTTGTCTGTTTCCCTTCCCTCAATTCCCCAGCACTGTTCCCATCCTCCCAATTCCCCAATTAAAAAAAAAAAAAAGTAACATGATTTCCTGAGCTAAGCTCTTGCTCAGGAATGCAGAATCTACGTAGCTTTCATGAAATTAAAAAAAAAAAAAAAACCTAGAGGAGGATTGTTGGGACCCACCTCAGATATTATATGGAGCATAGTTGTAATTAGGCTCTGTTTTGGGATGGTACAGTTAAAAATGCATAGCAGTTGTAACAAATATAAATGGAAGAGGAAGGGCTGAACCTTATGGGAGCCAGCAAACAGCAGCAGGTGGCAGCAGGCCGCAGTGTGTCCTGGTTTTTTGCGGAGCTACGCCAGGTCTGGTACTGGTGGCAGCCATCCTTAGTTCACAGTATTGCCTCTCCCACACAATTCCAGGTCCAATGCAGGCAGCAACCAACTGTGGATCACTTTGTAGCTCTTACCAGGTAGCCACTGACTGGTCACAGCCAGTGGCTGACCTGGGCATGCACTGGAGCCCCTCCCAAGAGACCCCAGAACTAATACACTTGGAGGTTGGCTTCAGACAGCCCAATTTGCCCCATGGGTGGCACACACAAAGGGCGATCTCAGTAGCACCAGAGCCTACTGGGGAAAATCCCGATCTGTGGGGTAAGCTGCTCGGCACAGCAGCCCATACGCAGTGTACATGGCCAAATCCCACAGCACAGCCGGTCAGCCTGAGGGTCAGTCCCACCCGCTGACATACCAATAGCAATCAAGGCTCAACTATAACAGGAGGGCACACACAACCCACACAAGGGACACTCGTGGAGCACCCAGAGCAGGTGACCAGGGAGACTGTGCCAGGGCCCCATAGGGCACCTACTACATTAAGGTCTGCCGGCAAGAGATCTACCTAATGCATAGAAACAAACACAGAGGCAGCCAAAATGAGGAAACAAATATGTCCCAAATGAACGAACATGAAAAAAAAAGCAAACCAGAAAAAAAACTAAACGAAATGGAGACAAACAGTCTACCAGAGACAGGGTTCAAAGCAATGGTTATAAGGATGCTCAAGGAACTTAGTGAGAACTTCAACAAAGAGATAGCAAGCCTGAAAATGACATAGAAACCATGGAAAAGAACCAGTCAGAAGTGAATAATACAATAACTGAAATGTTAGATTTACTAGAAAGAATCACCAGCAGACCAGATGAAGCAGAGGATCGAATCAACGATTTGGAAGACAAGGTAGCAGAAACTCTCCAAAACACTCAATCTGAACAGCAAAAGGAAAAAAAGAATTAAAAAAAAAAAAAAGATAGTATAAGGGGCCTTTGGGACAACATCAATTGTAACATTTGCATCATAGAGTTACCAGAAAAAGAGAGAAAGCAAGGGATTGAGAACCTATTTAAAGAAATAATGACTGAAAGGAAATAGATACAAAAGCCCAGGAAGTGCAGAGCCCCACACAAGAACCCAAATGGTCCAACACCAAGACACATTATAATTAAAATGGCAAAGGTTAAAGACAAAGGAAGAATCCTAAAAGCAGCAAGAGAAAGGCAACTAGTAACTTATAAGGGAGCTCCCATAAGATTGTCAGCTGATTTCTCAATGGAAACTTGGCAGTACAGAAGGGATTGACAAGAAATATTCAAAGTGATGAAAAGCAAGGATCTACAACCAAGATTACCCTACCCAGCGAGGCTATTGTTTAAAATCGAAGGACAGATAAAGAGCTTCCCAGACAAGAAAGAGCTAAAAGAGTTCATCACCACCAAACCAGTATCAAGGAATATTAGAGGGCCATCTTTGAGATGAAAATAAAAGATAAAAAATACGAATAATAAAATGGCAATAGCTACATATCTATCAACAATTACTTTCAGTGTAAATGGATTAAATGCTTTGATCAAAAACAAAGGGTAGTTGAATGGATAAGAAAACAAGACCCATACATATACTTCCTATAAGAGAATCACTTCAGATTGAATGATACACACAGACTGAAAATAAAGGGGTGGAAAAAAGATATTTCATGAAAATAGAAACAGGAAAAAAAAACAAAAAAAGCTGGTGTAGCAATACTTATACCAGACAAAATAGACTTTAAAACAAAGGCTGTAACAAAGACAAAGAAGGACCTAGTTATCCTAATTCTGGGTGTTTATCTGAAGAAACCCAAAACTACTTTGAAGGGACATGTACAGCTGTATGTTCATTGAAGCATTCTTTGATATGGAGGCAGCCTGGGTGTCTGTCTATGGAAGAATGGATAAAGAATAGATGGTACATATATACAATGAAATATTGTTCAGCAGTGGAAGGGAGTGGGTTCTCACCATCTGCGGTGTCATGGATGGACCTGGAGGGTACTTACTGTGCTGAGTGAAGTATGTTAGACAGAGAAAGACAGATGCAATGTGATTTCACTTATGTGTGGAATCTAAAGAACAAAATAAGCAAATAGAACAGAAACACACTCATAGATACAAAGAACATTTTGATGGTTGCCAGATGGGAGGGATGTTGAGGGGGTTGGTGAAAAACCGGAAGGGATTAAGAAGTACAAATTGGTAGTTAGAAAATAGTCATGGGGATGTAAAGTAAAGATAAGAGAATATAGTTAATAATGTGGTAATAACTTATGTATAGTGCCAAGTGAGTACTAGACTAATTAGGGGAATCACTTCTTAAATCATACAAATGTCTAACCACTATGCTGTACACCTGAAATTAATACAAAATAATATCAAATGTTAACTTTAATTGAAAAATCAAAGAGGGGAGGGAGAAAGGTGGAGGGGAATAAGAGGTTCAAATTTCCAGGTATAAAACAAGTAAGTCATGGGGATGTAAGGTACAGCATGGCAAATGAAAGAAAAAAATAAAAAATGGGAGAGGAAAAAAAAGTTTTCATTCCTCAACTTTCTTTTTTCTATTTTAATTAGTCTCTTTCAGATGCACTAATTTCTCTTCAGATGGTATATCCTCGAAGAAATCTTTCAGCTGACCAGTGGAGAAATGCCCAGTTATTGAGTCTCATCAGTGCACCCAGTACAATGCTTAATCCTGCTCAGTCTGACACCGTATGGTTCTCTTTTTCCCTTTTTGAATGAAAATAGTAAACTTGTTTTTCAGAAAAGTATCAGTTGAGCAGTGTTGTTGCAGTATTTCTTCTAATTAGTAGTAGCCTATCTGTGAAGTTTATTGTAAAAATGCTCAGTAGAAAAAAGCAAAAGACAAAAACAACCTTCTCACAATTAATAAAATAAATTTTAGCAAAAAAAATCACCCCAAATCTTACCAACTAGAGAAAATCATTATTATATACTGTTATATTTTCAGTCTTTTCTCTATGTACATGAACATAGATGTTATGCATATGGAGAACACACATAATTACCAATTTGGGTGAAACAGCGAGTGTCCATGTATATAAATCTTTTTTAACTTGACTAAAATTTTACCTGTTAGAATACTGCGAACTGAAATAGGAAATTTAGAAGTTGTTATTTATCAGATTGAACATGATTTAACAATAATACTTTTTAAAGAGAGGTTTTAAAGTGTGTAAATGTGAAAAGAACACTGCTCTCATTGTCCTTTATGGACTATAAGTTTAAATATAGGTTATAAAACTTTTATCCAATTTTCTAAATTTGTTGTGGATTTGAGCAAAGAATTGAGTAGCAAGAATTCTCAGGAGTCAGAGAAGGAGAGTGACTCAATGCGGGGTTTTTAAAAGAATTTCTTTTAACCACAAATTTATGTTTTCTTTTTTTAAGATGCCTTGTGAATATCTCTCTTTGGATGCAATGGAAAAATGGATTATCTGTAAGTAAAATTGGTTAGTTTTTGTCATTACCCCTCAGATTTTGTTTTAGAGAAAAATAACAGGTAACATGTATTACTTTTGTTCTAAGCACAGCCTTCTATGTGCTTTACCTCATTCAATGTTTTTTTTCTATTGATAATTAGTATTAGCCTATCAGTGAAGTTTATTGTAAAATGTTTAGTAGAAGAAAACATAAGTCACCCTAAATCTTACCAACTGTCCTCATATGTAACCCATCAGGGTAGATGGTCTGTTTTACAGATGAGGAATCCAAAGGTTAGCCCATACATCTAAGTAAGGGACAGATAAAGTAAGAGCCCAGACTAACTGTTGCCTCTCAACATAGCTGTCAAAACCAAATTTTTGTTTTGTTTTTAATGATTTTTAAAAATATTGTATTTATTCAGTAAAGGTTTTAGGTATTACTTTACTTCAGTACATATAATAAATGACTCATATTTGGCAGTTTGTTATATGCAGGGGGGATAAAATTACTACTAGTTTCTGTCCCTAAGAAGTTCACAAACTATGGGGGAAATAGACGCAGACACACAGATATAATACAAAATGATGCCTTTTACCGCCCCTAGGTCTTCTGGCAGAAGGGAATAATTTTAAGCAATTTGTGTCTTTTAGTACTTACGGTTCTTATTTCTTGATTTATTAACCTTTAGATACTCGATATTGACTTTTTATTAGGGTTTTTATTGGGGCATTCCCTTGTACACTCGTATAGTAGGCATTAAGGAAGAGTTGACTGAATGAAAGTGACATTTCATGGCCTAGTTTAGAGAACTAGAGAGGACATCAACAAACGTATACAGGATTATACATTTGTGTAGGATTTCCAAAGTAGATAACAAAAGGTAAAGGATATTTGAATTCATAAAATAGAGAGCAGCATAATATATTGAAAGAATATTGGACTCTAAGAGTAAATACTTGAGGCTAAGTCTAGCTCTAATACTTTAATAGTATAACTTGAGGCAAGTCATTGAACCTTCAGTTTTTTCAACTATAAAAGAAGGATACCGCCCTGTTCAATCTATTCATGTGGGATAATATGTGAAAAGACTTACTTAGTAAACTCTAAATTGCTATGAAATTTCAAGATGCTCTTTTATTTCTTCTGGTCATTTAGAAAAGTGTATTAGCTTTATTTTTCAGTTGCAGCAACTATAATGATTATTATGCATCAATTAGTAACTTCTGATCTCTGGCTTAAAATATTGGGTTGTCGGAAAAGTTATGACGCATTTTTGCAAAGAAAAACAAAAAATACATCATGAATTTTCCGACAACCCAATATTTTGTAAGTATTTCTGAAAAATATCTGTTACTCATTTATTAAAATGACTTGCTTCACAATCCAGAAATGAATTTTTCTTTATTGTGTCAGTGTAGATTCAAAGAATTGATTTTGCAGAATACATAAAATTACACAATATTGTTGTCATCTTGTATATATATATGAATTAATACCTGTCACTTAAAAGCCTCAATTTAGTGATTGTGTTTACGTTTCTGTATTTTTGAAAAGCCACCCTGTAACTGAAAGAACTTGACTTTGGAATACTTTTATATTTGTATTTACTTTTCTTTTTATTTAAAGTTGGCTTTATTTTGTGCCATGGGATCCTAAATACTGATGCAACAGCACTGAACCTTTGGAAGCTAGCTCTTCAAAGTAGCTCTTGCCTCTCTCTCTTTCGGGATGAAGTTTTCCACATTCACAAAGCTGCAGAAGACTTATTTGTAAACATACGAGGGTATGTTTTCAATTTTCAATTTCTTTGTCTTTAGAGAAGGTTAGTTGAGTAGATTATTTTTATTGCCACTTTGGGAATAGAGAAGGGTCATATCATGCAGGAAGATATTGCCTGTGCCATCTTGCAGCAGGTGGTTTTTCACAATCATGCTGACATGGTAGTCTTCCTGTTTTTTTACAGGCGACTTCACAGATTAAAGTACCTACTGTTCCCTTTCAAAACTTGTATTTTAGGAGAAAGAAGATATGTTCTCTTGCAAATCATACTATGGTTTTAGACATAAATATTACTAAAAGCACCACATACGTTTTAGAGTTTTGAACCTTTTAGAAGTGCTGTTTTAGAATATAGTGTACTTGTAGAAATATATAAATCAATCAGAAATATTTCATTAAATTAATTATAACAATTACAGAAGTCAGACCACTGCATATAGGAAATCATGTTTCCTTTTAATAGGAAGGTATTTAAAGCGTCTCATTTACTTTAATTTCTGTAAAACAAATCTCAAATTTGTTCCTTGACCTTTTTTTTTTTTTTTTTAATTGGGGAACAGTGTGTTTTTCCAGGACCCATTAGCTCCAAGTCAAGTAGTTGTTTCAATCTAGTTGTGGAGGGCGCAGCTCAGTGGCCCATGTGGGGATCGAACTGGCGACTGTGGTGTTATGAGCACTGCACTCTAACCAACTGAGCTAACTAGCTGCCCCTGTTCCTTGAAAAAAAAAAATTTTTTTCCCCCTCTCCTGCCCACTAGCGGCTCCCAATCTAATTTGAGGTCACCAGAACTCACTAGAAATGAAGGCACTCCTGTCCTTCGCTCCTCTTTTTCCCCTATTTGTCTCCCCGACCCTCCCAGCCAGGACAAAGGGCGATATGCTGGTCCCCACACTTGGCTACACCTCCTTGCACTGCACTGACCCTCCTAACCCGCACCTCAGCAGGTGCCCCTGAGAGAATTGCCCGTGATGGCACATTCTGAAACTTTATTTGACTTCTAACAGATTTCATAACCAAAATCAGTGAAAGATTAAATCGTTAGGGCTTAAATAGAATTCTTTAAAAAATTGTAAGATTTGTTATAGTTTGGTTTTTTGGTTTTTTACTTTAGAAGATAGCTCGTAATAGTCAACCAAACACTTCTAGATGGTAAGAATATAGCAGTGGCCTTTCTCTTTTAAGATGTCTATGCAAAAACATCCAGCCTAAGAGAAAGCTTATAAGAGTTTATTTGAGCCAAACTGACGACAAGTTGCCAGGAAGCAAAATCTCAACAGATTGAGAAAATGCTCCCTCCTTGAAATTTTTAATGCCAGCATTTCTTTCCACATAAGTTTCTGTAGCCAGTATACTGGGGGTGCCAAAAAAATGTATACACATGACTTGTATTCACCTTTTGTTTTGGTATATATTATTACAGTTCCAATGCAAATTTTTCCATTCTTAAAATGTGTATACTTTTTTTGCCCCCTATATAAAAACCAAATTGAGCTCAGATTTGGTGGTAATTATGAAATGTTTTGAAACTAGGAGCATCTAAATAAAATATCCTGGGATCCCCTGTACCCGAAAGAGTTAAATAATTGTGTTGGGCTTGTTAGCTTCAGAAAGGAATTAAATTTACCTACATTTCTTTCAAATCCAATTTAGTAATGTCCTAATGAAATTGAGATAAAATAAAGCATATATAGTTATTAAAAAATGAAGATATGTTTAACAGTTTAAGCCAGTGTGTCTCAAATTTTAGTGTTCATAAGACTTGCCTGGGATGTAAATGAAAATCCAGGTTCCTGGGCATCATCTCTAACCTCCTGCATCTCCTATATCTGTATCTTGGAGAGGTTAAAGGAACCTGGCTTCCTCTGCCCCACCTCCCAGTAATTTATTGAGGTAAAATTTACAAACAGATGCACACAATTTAGATGTAAAGTTCAATGACTTTGCATATGAATATGCTAGGTGACCACCTAGGTAAAGATATAGAGCATTTTCATTGTACCCTGAAAATCCTCTTGTGCCTCTTCTTTCTGGTCCCCGTCCACTGAGTCCCTTTCTCAAAAGACAGCTGTTCTGATTTCTGTCACCATAGGTGATTCTGACATTCTCATGCAGGTAGTTTCTCAGTCATAATATGAGCAGCAGTACCCTATATACTTTTCAGCTCTTACTTGGCTTTTATTTTCGTTGGTGGAGTACCCAGAAATACCCTGTCATGGGGGATTTGTTATTTTCTAATTGATTCAAATTGAAAATCATAAAACTTGTATGATATCCTAGGTATTGACAACTTCTCTGTGGAATCATTTAAATATATATAAACATTTAGAACCAGATTGTCTGTCTGTATTAGGTGAGTTTATGTTATGTATGGTACTAGTAAGTTTAATGGCACCAAGAAACCAATTGTCTTTTTGTTATGCTTTTTTTAATAATATTTTTACCATCTAAGCATCTATATTTGAAGTCGAGAAGTTTTGATTTTTTATTAAATGGTGATGAACCCAATTTAAAATGTGAGTTATCATAGTAGTTACAAGTCAGACCATTAGTATAAAAGCTTATTAATTGTAAAGGACAGTGATTACAGAATTAGTATATTTTGGACATTCGCTCAAAGAACACATAAATCCTAGAGTACTTAATTTAGAAGTTGGAGTTTTTGGTGTTAAGTAGTTTTAGCCAGGTTGTCAGGAAGATAGGTTTTAACATTTTATGACTTTTGAGTTTTTGTATCTAGTATTCATAAAATTAACATACTTATTGGCATTGATGTTTGTGTTCTATTTCTTTTAATTTAAAGTAGTCAAATGCTTTCCTGCCCTAGTTTTCTCCACCATAGAGCCTTTATCCTCATATATTTGCTAGAGTGACCACTGGTATATGCCCTTTCAGAGTTTTTTTAATGTTTATGAGATAACAGAAGAGTCAGAAGTGATAAAGTCAAAATAGCTTTGTCAGCACTTTAAATTTTTGAAAATCACTGTTAATTATGTCGCAAGTATAATTTTAATGTTTTGGGCTTAAGGAAGTATATTTAATAAAATAAAAATCTACATTGTGAAGTTTAGTTTTATTGTTTGATTAGTATGTTATGAGATTTATTTTCCTAGGAAGACTTGACTGGATACCTAACGTGCTAGGAAAGGATGTTAGATAGACCTCTTCCATGCTTTTCCAGTTTGAGGGCCAGGTGTCCTTGTTGATAATATGTTATTTTTAATTGACTTTTTGTGTTTGACTAACATTTTGACTGTTATTGATCAAATTAAGGTTAACATGGTTCCAATTTTTTTTGCACATAGCTATAATAAGCGTATTAATGACATAAGAGAATGCAAAGAAGCAGCTGTGTCACATGCGTAAGTAGTTCTGTCTTGTCTGTGATACTTTAATCCAGAAGAATTCCTTTCTTAAAGCATTATTTTGTTGAAGTCAGTGCAGATTAATGGTGTGCAAAGTGTGGTAGTAGAAATGGGGGACTTTTAATCAATAAGAAATAAGTATGTAACCTCAGTATCTAGTAACCTTGGAGTTAGTGCAGACAGATTTTAAATATTTTTGAATTGTTGGTAAAAATGCTGTAAGGAAGTATGTTACAAAGGACTTTTAAGATTTATTCAAGTTTCTTACTGGTACTATGCTCCCTTGCTAATACTTTGCAAATTGTGATTTTTTTATACTTCATGAAAATTGACCTATCTTGACACTCTTCCAAATAGTACTTACTTTTCAAAGTATGTTAACCCCTCACCTTTTCCAAATTTTAATAAATATATTTATATTAATAAATAGATAACTTAAAATTAGAAATTAGTATATTTAAATCTTTGAACAACTTTTCAGTTTTCTCCTGAAATAACTAATTAGTTCATCTTAATTGTTACGTATATGATATACTTATGTAGAATATTTTCTCCACTAAGCCTAAGTAATGTGCAGATAACATTATCTGATCCATCAGTATTTTTATAAGGCAGAAAGAAGATAAGCACTGTTGCCATAGATGGAAAATATAAAACCAGAAGAACTTTTAGAATTTAGGGTTAAGCTATAGGATGGATATTGGGAATTTAAACCATCTTTATTCATTGTTATTACATGATTTCCTCATGCATATATTTTCCACTTAAATGAAGTGCTTTTATTATTAAAAAAATCATTCTCTAGTATAAATAACATACTTTGGAGTGTGTTAGAATTTCTTTCCAAACCTACAGAAATATAAATGATTATCACTTCATGGGATGGACCTTATTGTAGGCAGATATATGGTATCATAGCTATCTTTTATTAATATAACGATTTTTAAAAGGAATTTTTATTTCCTTTATTATATAAAATAATCATAAATATTAAGCAGTTGTAATTCCTATCACTCATTACCGTGTGCCAGGCATAGTACTTTATAGATACTTGCTCTCAATGTTAATAATACCACAGACTCCTTGCAGTAACCCTGCGTAGTAAAATAGTCAAAATAACATGCCCATTTTTTTCTTAGAAATTATACCAGATGACTTTATTACTGTCAAACAAAAAGAGCTTGCCATTGGAATTAAAATAATACTGTAGAAGTACTATATATGAGGCATATGAAAGATGTGTCATCTAAGACAGACGTCATCATCCTGTTTTATAGATGAGAGACTGAAACTTAGTGAGATAGAACCTAAGGTCACAAAGGCAGAAGTTGGATTTTAATGTGTCTTCTAAAACTAATCTGTGTCACAGCTAAATTTCTAGTATTATATATTCTTATACTTGTTTTTTTGGCATATACAGTCATTGTACAGGTGTGTGGCCATTTTTTTCTTGCACCTATCTAAATTTTAAAACTTAATTGGAGTAATGTATATTTTGCAAAGTGTGAGGAATTGGAATACTTAGAACACTCAGTGATTTTTTTTCCCCCATGTTAATATGTCAGAATAAATTTTTTTTCATTTTGTGTTTTATTTTAAAAATACCTAGTATATGAGTATATCTGATTAGACTTTCCTTGTCTTTCTGTTTTTGAAGAAGAATGCCAAATAGATCTCATCCTAATATACTTATTGAATATAGCTCTTGTTTTTTCAGTTTTATATATTTAATAGGAATGTGGGTAATCAGATATTTAGTGTATTAATTTCTATGTGGAGGTGACAAAAATGTATGCACTAGGACAGCGATTGCTTTCAAGGATTTCACAGTCTATTTTATAAAAGGCTATAAGGTGCTAAAATTGCATAAATTATTCAGAAATGGATATCTGGATATTGGGAAATGCTTTCTTGTAGGATTGGTCTTGAAGTTTGGGTAAGATTTTGATAGGTGGAGAAATAACAATGAACGATTACAAAAGCAGCACAAGAAAGCAAAGGATCAACATAAAATGGGAAGTCATTTAATGACAAACACATAGAAGATGATATTTGTAGGGACTTCTTCATATAAAACTTTGGACATTGATCCTAAATGATAAGTTATTTAATTGCCAATAATTATTTTAGTAGAAACAGACAAACTAATAGTGTCTTTCCCTATAGTGGTTCAATGCACAGAGAAAGACGCAAGTTTTTAAGGTCTGCACTGAAAGAATTGGCTACGGTCCTCTCTGATCAGCCTGGCTTGCTAGGTCCCAAGGTAATTGATTTAATTTTTAACTATAATTGCCATATTAAAATTGAAAACAAATTCTTCTCTCTCTGACATTTATCTAAATTTTGGTCAAAGTCTACATAAAAGGATTTTATATTGAGCTAACAATGCATTTGTTGACTTGACACTTGTACATCACACCTTCCTGCATTTTTCTCACCTGTTTTTATATGTATGCTCTCCCTGATACTTCCAATTTCTCTTTGGTCTTCTCATATCTGTCTTTGAACTTGATTTTATCAGTTCTTGCCAATGACTTTTTACTTAGAGAAAGATTATGAATAGATTTTGTTTTTAATCTTTACATGAGAGTAAGCAACCTTTTTTTTTTTTTTTAATTAGGCACTTTTTGTTTTTATGGCATTATCCTTTGCCCGTGATGAAATTATCTGGCTACTTCGTCATGCAGATAACATGCCAAAGAAGAGTGCAGATGACTTTATAGATAAGTAAGTTAGCAACATTAAAAAAATTATTTTTTTGTGTATTTTCATTTATGAGCTATGGAATTTGGGGACTTGGAAGTAAAATTATTTTGAAAAACATTTTTTTAGGGCTTTTTATATTTGTAATAGTACAGGAATATTTGTAATATATCCTTAGATGATATTAATTGGGATGCAAAGTCAACTTGAGTTTAAAATTAGGGCTGTTAATGTTTTCTTTCTAGTACCATAGGTGGTCATAAAGTTCTTGTTTGTTTTCTTGCTATACCCAGTAACATTTCCTATGGAATTCATTTTTACTACACAAAAATTTAAGAATGCTTATGAAGTTGCAACCAATATGTCATTTGAAATGTCTCTCTCATTTTTGTTCAGCCCCTCAGTAGGACTGAATAAATGAAGCAGAGAAATAAGAGCACGCAGAAAAATATTATTTCTTCCCAGTCCTCTTTTATTTGTGGCTTTTTAATGATTATTTATGAAATATTCTAATTTTATTTTCATTTTGGATTTTCCTCTATCGCTTTTTTAGTCTTAGCTTTTTTTTGCTTTCTATGACTTCTTTATTCATATGAAATAATTTTAAAAAGTAATTGTCATTAAGTGTTTTCACAATGCTGTTTCTAAGAAAAATCTTGTAATAGTATCAAAGGCATTTCACATTTTCTTTAATACCTAGTTTTTGAAATATTTTTCTTGAATTTTTAAAAAAGGCACATTGCTGAATTAATATTTTACATGGAAGAGCTTAGAGCACATGTAAGGAAATACGGACCTGTAATGCAGAGGTACTATGTGCAGTACCTTTCTGGCTTTGATGCTGTTGTCCTCAATGAACTTGTACAGGTAAAAACTATCTCATATTATTCTCCCTTTTGTTCCTTCGCTTTTTCTAGTAATTGATTTGTTTGCAAGAATTTGTAATATATTATCTTGTGCCATGTGGTGGAGATAGAAATATAAATAAATCATGGCCATATCTTGTCAAGGGGATCATCATCTACAGGGGAGAGAACATTTAGTTGTCATCCATGTGATAGGCATTGTTTTTAAGGGTGTACAAAGCTCAGAGTAAACACAGTGCAGGGAATGATTCTGTATCTTGTGGGTGGAGATATACAGTAACTAAATTATAGAGGGCCTTGCAAAAGAGCAAGTTAGTCATAAATCACATTTACTATTTGTAAAGATCACCCTGGCTCAGTGTGGTTGATGATTTGCTGGGGGCAAGGGCAGAAGCAGAGAGATTAGGAGGGAATTTATTCCATTAGGCAGGTGAGAGCTGATGAGAGCCTGAACTTGGACCGTTCCTATGGAGATAAAGAGATGAAGACATATAATTGATAACTAAGTATTAGAATAAAAGAAGATAAACCTTTTAGCAAAGTGTGTTAAAGGATGTCCAGTAAAAAAAAAAAAAGAAAAGAAAATCGCCTAGGACATTTAATTAAATGTCCTAGTTTTATTTCAATTTGAATTTTCCTCTACTGATTTTTAGTCTTGGGGGTGGGGATGGGGTGGGTGTCTGTGTGTGCGCGCGTGCTTGCTTTCCCTAATTTGTTTATTGGGTCTTTTTCATGTTAATATACATTTCTTTTATTCCCAATAATCTGAATATAAGGAAAATAGTATTTTACTTTGTTTTAAAAATAATCAAAGCCATCTAAAAACTACTATATGCTAACATAATATAAAGGAAGAACATCATGAATTCTTTTTATATTAAGACTAATATTAAGACTAAAATTACTGGTTTCCCAGAGAAATAACCATACTTTGAAATCCTAGTTTTTTTCATACCTACCTAAAAATGCAAATAAGAAAGGAAAAATGTCACATAATTATTTACCTTGAATTACATACAGCTTCTAAGTTACTCTTCTAAACCAGTGTATTTCTTTTTTATCCACTAGATGGAGTTCAGTTGCTTCCTTTCTAGAACATCCATTAAAAGGGGAAAAGCTGATTTTATCCCTAGAGTGTTGTTGCTTTGCTGCAATTTCATTTGAACAGTTATTATCAGATTAACCAGAGGCTGTCATTGCTATCAAAGTCTAGAAAGTAAATCAGACTGCTTGTTTCATGTCCTTTTGAAACTTGCTGTGACTATTATATACTTATTCATAAATTTTACAGATTTATATTGTACTGTTAAAATTTTTAAGTCAGGGCTGGCCGAGTGGCGCGATGGTTAAGAACTCGCTTGGGATGGTTAAGAACTCGCTTGGGATGCCGGAGGGCCCCGGTTCGGATCCCACATATGAGGGCCAGTGACACTGCCCTCCACAGCTGAGATGCTGAACAACAGCTCAACCTGGAGCTGGGCTGCCGTGGGTGGCCGGCGATGGCGTGGGCTGCAGCACCTGTGGCGGTGGGTTGCCATGGGCTACCGTGTGTAGCCAGCAGCCAGCGTGAGCGGCCAGCAGCTGCAGTGAGCGGCCGTCCAGAGGCCGGTGACTGGTCTGCCTCGCCTGGGAAGAGCGCAATGATGGTGCCAACTTGGGCCAGTGAAGCAACGTCCTCCACCACTAGATTGAAGAACAAAACGACAGCAACTTGTCTGTTCCCCTTCCCCCAATTCCCCAGCGCTGTTCCCATCCCCCCAATTCCCCAATAAAAATCTTAAAAAAAAAAAAAAAAAAAAGCCAGAAAGCACACAAATACATGGAGAAAAAAAAAAAATTTTTTTTAAGTCATTCCATATCTTTTGGTGTCTTTTATGTAAGCTGCATATTAACAATACTGGGAAAATGAACTTATTTTTTCTGGAATTATAGTAATAGTAGTAGTAGCAACTAATGCTAATATTGATAATTGTCATATTATTGATAGTATATTTTATTTCATCTGTACAACAACTCTGTCAGGGTAGGTATAGTTAATCATTATTTGTTGAAGAAAAATGATGTTAATGTAACTCATTCAGTGTTGTACAGTTCATAAGTAAGAGAGCCAGTATTTGAAGTCAGGTCTTAACTTGACACCTGAGCTTTTTACCACCTGTTCGGTTGTAAAGTATGTGCATGATTTTTTTAACCGTTTGCTAGGATTTAAATTTAAAACTAAGATTAGGCTGTTAATATAGTTCATTGTAATAAGTGTTACATTTTTTTATTGTGGTAAAATATATGTAGCAAAATTGACCATTTTAACTACTTTTAAGTGTACAGTATAGTGCGATTAAGTATATTCCCATTGTTGTGTAGGTCTTAATGTTATGAAAATTATTTATGCTGTTTGTGACTAAGATCCACTTTAAAAAATTATTATTTAGTATCCATTTCATATACGGTTTATCAAATTTTAGCTTTTTCAGCTAGTTTGAGAGGAATTTTTTGGTCTTAGTTTTGTTGTGATATAATTTACGTTTACTAAAAATCACCAATTTTTAGTTTATAGTTTGAATTTTGGCGACTATATATTATTATACATTACTGTAACTACCATAACAGTCAAGATGTAGAACATTTCCAATGCTTAATGCACATTTCTTGTGCATCTTTGTAGCTGATTCCTTCTTAGACCTCCAACAACCACTCATCTGTTTATCACTTTTTGCCTTTAAAAAAAAATCATATAAATAGAATCATATACTATATAATCTTTTGGTTTTGATTTCTTTCAATTAGTATAATGATTTTGAGATTCATCCATTTGGCTGTGTCTATCAACATATTCCTGTTTACTGCTAAACTATATGTCATAGTATGGATCTACCAGTGTATCTGTCCACCCATTGATGGACCTATGAATTTTTTCCCAACTAGATGATTTTAACATTATTTTTTGTTTCTTTTCAGAATCTTTCTGTTTGCCCTGAAGATGAATCAATCATCATGTCCTCTTTTGTTAACACTATGACTTCCCTAAGTGTAAAGCAAGGTAATAAGTCTTAAGTAAAAGCGTATTTTCTTCTAATTAGGTTTTTAAATTTGATTATTAAGGAAAGGATATAACAGGTAATTTTTAAAGCATCACATTTTTTGGACATACAGTATCCTGCCCCTTTTCTGCAGGGGACATGTTCCAAGACCCCTAGTGGATGCCTGAAACCTTGAATAGTACTGAAGCTGATATATACAGTTGACCCTTGAAAAATGCAGGCCTCAGGGACGCTGAAACACTCCACTCACCCACCCACCGTGCACTTTGCACAGTTCAAAATCTGCATATAACTTTTGACTCCCCAAAAATTTAACTACTAGTAGTGTACTGTTGACAGGAAACCTTACCAATAACATAAACAGTTAATTAAGCTAGAGAAAAAAATGTTACTAAAATCATAAGAGAAAATACAGTTACAATACTGTATGTATTTACTGAAAAAATTTGTGTATGAGTGGTTTAGCACAGTTCAAACCTATGTTGTTCAAGGATCAACCGTACTCTTTTTTCCTATACACACATACCTATGATAAAGTGTTATTTATAAATTAGGCACAGTAAGAGATTAGCAACAATAACTAATAATGATAGAACAGGTATAACAATATACTGTAATAAAAGTTACATGAATTTGGTCTCTCTCAAAATATCTTTTCGTACTATACTCACCTTTTCACTTAAAGGAAGCACTTTACAGCTTGTCTTTGGCATCTCCAAATTGCCAATGTCACTACTCTTGAGCTTTGGGGCCATTAGTAAGTAAAATAAGGATCACTTGAACTCAAACACTACCATACAGCCACAGTTGATCTGATAATGGAGACAGCTGATACGTGACTAAGTGGTGGGTACTGCATGTGGTGTGGATATGCTGGACAAAGGCATGATTCATGTCTAAGGTGGGACCGAGTTGGACAGTGGGAAATTTCATCATGCTACTCAGAGCATTGTGCATTTTAAAACTTATGAATTGTTTCTAGAATTTTCTACTTAGTATTTTCGGGCTGCAGTTGACTGCGGGTATCTGAAACTATAGAGTGTGAAACCTTGGATAAGTGGCGGGGGGGACACGGGACTACTGTATTTAACCTGTTCTGTTTTGTCTTAACTTCCTTCTCTCTGAAGCGTTTCCAAAATGGATGTGAGATGATGTTTATAAAAATCAGAAGAATTATGGCTTGAAATTTCTTATTTAGTGGGGAAAGTCATTTTGTAATAAAAAACCTAAGATTTTCCCATATCATAACAAAGTTTATATTTGGTCCAAAAAACCCCCAAAAGAGTACCCTGTATTATAATAATGCATGCATTACCTATGCATTATTACCCTAGCATTACCTATGACAGTAATGGATACCATTGATAAAATGTTTAATCTGTGGTAGACATCTTACTGGGTTGTCAGAAAAGTCATGACGTATTTTTTCTGTTTTTCATTGCAAAAATGCGTCATGACTTTTCCAACAACCCAATATATATATTATCCAATTAATACACATCAGTTTTAAAAAGTTGTTATTATGTTTATGTGACAGATTTGGGAACTCATGGTTTGAGAGTTAACCTCTCAGTTATTTAACATGATTTGTCCAAGCTGTAACAGGAATTAAGTACTAGAATTGGAATTTTAAGTTCAGGTCTCTCAATCTTCAAAGTTGAGATTGTATACTAGACTGCCTCTCTGTTATTTGAATACTTTATTCCAATAGATTCATATGATGTTTAATTTGTAATGTTTAAATAAAAGGTATCAGAAACCTTGTTATATTCTGAGTAATAAGTACATTTATTTTATCACACTTATGTAATGAAACTATTGTAAACTTGCCTGGTGATACTCGGTTTTTATAGAGAGTTATTTTGTGGAACTTCAGCATACTGTTCAAAGTTTCTGTTGACCAGATTCCTCAAGCTCTATTCTAGCTCTTACAACTGACATGTAAGTGTCTTGAGTACAGAGTTTAGGAGAAAAGTCTATACTTTTCTCTTAGCATAACTGCCTCCTTTAACATCATTTTTATAGGATTTGAGAATTTTTTCACTGTCTTAGCTATTAAATTATTTTTATTTTTTAATTGTGGTAAAACAAACAATATGAAATTTACTATCTTAACTATTTTTACATGTAAAGCTTAGTAGTAAGTATATTCACATGGTTGTGCAACTAATCTCCAGAACTTTTTCATCTTACAAAACTGGAACTATAGCTATTAAATGGCAAATTCCCATTTTCTGTTTCCCCAGCCCCTGGCATTGTACTTCCGCTTCTATGAGTTCAACTACTCTAAGATACCTCATATAAGTGGAGTCATACAGTATTTGTCTTTTTGTCACTGATTTACTTCGCTAACATAATGTCTTCAAGATTTAGCCATGTCGTAGCATGTGTCAGTCAGAATTTCCTTCCTTTTTAAGGCTCAATAATATACCCCATTTTGTTTATCCATTTATCTGTTGATGGATATTGAGTTGCTTCCACCTGTTGACTATTGTGAATAATAATGCTGTGAACATGGTGTATAAACATATCTCTTGAAGACTCTGCTTTTTATGCCTAGAAGTGAAATTGTGTTAGCTCTTAAAATTTGAAATATGATTATAGATTTATGAAAACATTAATTTGTTTTAATCTTTTTTTCTGTTATTGTAGTTGAAGATGGAGAAGTGTTTGATTTCAGAGGAATGAGATTAGATTGGTTCAGATTACAGGTAAGAATTACTTCATTTTCATCATTCTGTTGGTATTGAATACATTAGTTAACATGAAAACATTACTTAGCATGAAAAAATATTCATTGTTGTATACCTATTGAAAAGGCTTTGTATAACTAACCATAGCCTTCACCTCATAGAAGAAACTTTTTAAAAATTGAGATATAATTGAATTATAACATTAGTTTCAGGTGTACAACATGATTCAATATATGTATACATTGCTAAATGATCACCACAATAGGTCTAGTTAACATCTGTCACCACACAAAGTTACAAATTTATTTTTCTTGTAATGAGTTCTTTTAAGATCTATTCTCTTAGCAACTTTTCAGTATACAATGCAGTAATGTGTCCCACCCCTCCGCCCGTCTGCAGGGAATATGTTCCAAGACTCCCAGTGGATGCTTGAAACTGCAGATAATACTGAACCCTATATATACTATGTTTTTTCTATATATATGTACCTATGATATAGTTTAATTTATAAATTAGGCACAGTGAGAGATTAACCACAATAATAAAATAGAAGTTATAACAAGGTACTGTAATAAAAGTTATGTAGTCTCTCAGAATATCGTATTGTATTGTACTCACCCTTGTGACAGTGAGAGATGATACATTGCCTATTTGATGAAATGAAGTGAAGTGAATGACATAAGGCATTGTGAAGTAGCATTAAGCTACTATAAGGGTTTCTTGAACATAAAGCACTGTGATACCACAACAGTAGATCTGATAACCAAGATGGCTACTCAGTGACTAATGGGAGGGTAGTGTTTTATGCAGCATGGATATGGATACAGTGGACAAAGCGATGGTTCATATCCAAAGTGGGATAGTGTGAGATTTAGTTATGCTACTCAGAACGGTGTGCAATTTAAAACTTACGAATTGTTTAATTCTGGAATTTTCCATCTAATATTTTCAGACCATGGTTGACCGTGGGTAACTGAAACCGTGGATAAGGGGGGACTGCGATACAGTATTATTAACTATGGCCACCATGCTGTCCATTACATCCAAGGACTTATTTAACAGGAAGTTTGTACCTTTTGACTACCTTTATTCATTTCATCCAGTCCCAACTCCCTGCCTCTGGCAACCACCAATTCATTCTTTATGAGTTTGTTTTTTGTTTTTTGTTTTGTTATTTTTCTTTCTAAGACTCCACATGTAAGTGAGGTCATACAGTCTTTGTCTTTCTGTGTCTGACTTATGTCACTTTGTTTGCATAATGCCCTTCAAGATTCATCCATGTTATTCCAAATGGCAGAATTTCCCTTTTTATATGTCCGAATAATATTTCAGTGTGTGTGTGTGTATGTTATGATATATATATTAGTACACACATACATATATACACACCACAACTTCTTTATCCATTCATCCATCAGTGCACACTTAAGTTTTGCCTTGGCTATTATAAATACTGCATTGAACATGGGATGGCAGATACGTTTTGAGCTAGTGTTTCCATTTCCTTCAGATAAATACTTAGAAGTAGAATTGCTGGATCACATGGTAGTTCTGTTTTTAATATCTTGAGGAACCTCCATACTGTTTTCCATAGTGGCTGTACCAATATACATTCCCATCAGTAATGCGCAATGGTTTCCTTTTCTCCACATCCTCGCTAACACTTGTTATTTCTTGTGTTTTGGATAATAGCCATTCTAACAGGTGTGAGGTGATTGATTACATCACATTGTGGTTTTGATTTGCATTTCCTTGATGAATAGTAATGTTGAGCCCTTTTTTATGTTCCTCTTGACTGTCTGTATGTCTTTGGGAAAATTTCTCTTCAGATCTTTGTCCATTTTTTTTTTTTTAAGGTTTTTATTGGGGCATTGCGGGGATGGGAACAGTGCTGGGGAATTGGGAGAAGGGGAACAGACAAGTTGCTGTCGTTTTTTGTTCTTCAGTCTAGTTGTGGAGGACGTTGCTTCACTGGCCCAAGTTGGCACCATCATTGCACTCTTCCCGGGCGAGGCACATCAGTCGCTGGCTTCTGGACGGCCACTCACTGCGGCTGCTGACCGCTCACGCTGGCTGCTGGCCGCTCACACTGGCTGCTGGCTACACATGGTAGCCCATGGCAACCCACTGCCACAGGGGCTGCAGCCTACGCTGTTGCCAGTGACTCACGGCAGCCCAGCTCCAGGTTGAGCTGTTATTCAGCATCTTAGCTGTGGAGGGCAGTGTCACTGGCCCTCATATGTGGGATCTGAACCGGGGCCCTCTGGCATCCCAAGTCAGTTCTTAACCATCACGCCACTTGGCTGGCCCCATTTTTTAAATAGATTGTTTGTTTCCTTACTGTTGAGTTGTATATAGAAGAAACATTTTTATACTAGTTGTTAAACTTGGATAAATACATTTCTAACTTATGCCAATATAAAAGGTTTTTTTGAGTAAAATAGATTATAATTTTAAAATGTCCAGATATTTAAATTCCAGTATCTCTCTTGATTATCCTGATTCAAATGTTTAATTCTAAAGTGAAAGCAAAGAATTTTTTTGAAAAGATATTTATAATCTCGAACCAACTGATAAAAACTTGAAGCTTGCAGGCCATATAGTCTGTCATTAATACCCATTTCTGCCGTTGTAGTGTGTGAGCAGCTGTAGACAATAACAAATGGGTGTAGCTGTGTTCCAACAAAACTTTATAAAAATAAGCAGCCCACTCACAGGCCATAGTTTACCATTTCCTGATCTAATGCCAAAAGTGTCATTTTTCAGAAATGCAGAAATAAATACTAATTAAGTATTAATTGGACTTAAAATTTTTCTATTTAATATATAATTCTCGCATAAATAGTTTTTAAGGGCTTTTAAAATTAAAGCCTAAACTTTTTGTATACACATAAATTAAATGATAGAATTTAATTGCCCCTTAATTATTTCTAGTAATTATGGGAAAACTGTGGCCCAAGGTTTCCAATAACTTCATATTTAAAAAATATGCATATTTAAAAATAATAATATGATGTTCTTATTATAAAAAGTCAAAGTATCCAGAGGTAAAGTAGAAAATTAAAGTTTGCTATTTTCCCAGCTTCATTCCCCAGAAATACTCACCTTTAATAACTGGTCTGTATCCTTTATGTGTTCAGACATGTAAATGGGATTATACTATATACTGCTCTGCAACTTAAAAAAATAAATTTTTTATTTGTTTAATTAAAATGTGAAAATATAAGCAGTACATATTTGCCAAAGAGGTTTTTAGATGAATATAGTCTCAAGCAGGACTTCTAGGAAGAGCATACTTTTCCAGCAGTCTGCTTAGTTCCCTGACGTGCTTTTGCTTTTCTTAGATTCTTTCCTTCCAACCTCAAAATACATAGGCACTTTTCTCTCTCTTGTTCTGTATTCTACAACATCATAGTTTTAGAGATCTTATAAGTGAGGCCATAAGTTATTAAGTAACTTGCCTGATGTTAGAGAGTTGGTTAGTGGGAGATCAGGGAAGAACACTTGAAATACCACCTGTTAAATGTGAATGTATTATAGATTATTTCTTTCCTATTAAAAACAAAGTTTAGAAATTAACATTTCTTGATTTTTAACAAAGTATGAACCAGTACAGAAGTAGGACTTGTAAAGTGAAAATAGAGGTAGAATTGCTCAGCCAAGGGGTATATACATTTAAAATTGTGAAAGTCATTGTCATAAGCTTGAACTGTCTCACTCTCTTGCTCTCAGTTTGTGGGAGTGCCTAAACCAGCATTTGAGTTCAGAAAATTTTAGAGGTTTAAATGCGTTTCAAATTTACTTTCATTAAATGCTTCCAGGATTATTAAATTTACTTCCTTCAAGGGATTCACTTGAGAATTTTAGCTTTATTCAGTCTTAAGGCAGAATAGAAAGCATTTGAGCATTAAGAATGTAGAACTGATATAATCCCTGTGTGAGACTTTTTATTTTTCTAAGATACTTGTAAGAACATCAGTCACTGTTTATCTGATTCTTTCATATATTCTGCACTTGCATGTATTGGTTTCCTAGGGGCTTCCATAACAAAGTACCACAAACTGGGAGGCTTAAACAACAGAAATTTATTGTCTTACAGTTCTGGGGCCAGAATTCCAAAGTCAAAGTGTCAGCAGAGTTGCTTCCTTGGGGGGCTGTGAGTGAGAATCTGTTCTATGGCTTTTTCCTAGCTTTTGGTGATTTACTGGCAGTCTTTGTTGTCCTTGATTTGTATATGCTCTAATGGCATTCTTCCTGTTTCTCTTCACATGGTATTCCTTATAAGCATATCTCTGTGTCCAGATTTCTTTTTATAAGGTCACCAGTCTTATTGAATTAAGGCCTTCTCTAAAGACTTCATTTTAACTTGATTATCTCTGTAAGGACCCTATTTCCAAATAAGGTCACATTCTAAGGTACTTGGAACTTACAAGTTCAACATATTTTTTGGGGACACATTTCAATTCCTAACATTGTTGCTCTTAACCATGATTGGGACATACAGTCACTCAGTCCCTTTCTACTGCGTAATAGACTCTTTATTTTTTTAGTGACAGTAGGACAGAGTATACCAAGGAAGTAAAGAATGGGACGTACAACTAAGCCAGAGAAGCCTTGACTAGGGAAGAGTGCAAAAGTACAAGGTGGAGGGCCGGCCGAGTGGCTCAGTTGGTTAAGAGCTCGCTCAAGAGTTTGAGCTCTGAGCAACAGCGGTTTGAGTCCAGCCCAAGCTGAGCAGCCGCTGAGCTGCCAACAGGTAGCAGGATGGCTCAGCTAAAAAAAAAAAAAAAAAAGTACAAGGTGGGAGGCAGTGTCCAGAGTCCAGGAGGTTCGTATGCATGATGAAGTAGAGGTCAACAATGAAAGTTCCAAGCCTACAGATTAGGCCATAGGATACAGGAGATAAAATATTGAGCAGTATTATATAATCTGTAAAAGAGTACAGATGCTCTTTTGAGGATTTTATTAATCTTGCTGTGGAGGGAGACAAGGTATAAAATATAATGAAAAATTAAATAGCAGTTGAAAAATCTAAAAGATTAAGTTAAAAGATGTCCCTGACAGTATAATTATCAATTAATTACAGTTTTCTCAGAAGGGAGAAAAATTTTTTCAAGCTGGAATTGCTACTAATGGCTTTATAGAGAAAGCAACATTTTGCCTGGACATTGAGAAATGGGTAGAAATTGACTAGGAAACTAGCTTAGCTAGGAAAGGGGCAAACAATGAGGAAAGGGTAAGTCAAGAGAATTTTTAGTGTGAAGTATTACTATAAGAAGCAGATCTTAACAAGAGATATGAATGGTCTAAGTTTGATCAGTGATCAGGTAGAAGGACAAGCGCTATTAGGTACAAGCACATGGCCAGAGAGAGGTGTAGATACTCTGTTGGTATCAGTAGTTTTTAAGTGGAGCGAGGTCAAAAGGATAAGCCTTTGGGAGAATGTTATAGTATGCTTTGTGCCTTCACTGGAGGGCTATCCAGTTTTGATCCCAAGGTCATTCATTGGTCATTTATATATATGACATATATAGGTCACTTTGATCTTTCTCTGTCTCTTTTCTAGTTTTCAAAGAAGAGTTCTTCCGGTTTACATGTTCTTTGTCATTTTTTTCTACTTCTTAAGGCATCTCAGTATCTCATTTCTCTGTGTATTCCATTAGCCCCTTAAGCACCTTCAGTCACTCTTTCATTTATCTTCCCTTCCATCTTCTAATTTACTTGTGTTGTTTATATCTTACACTTTTACTTAAACTTATTTTTCTTGTTTAATAACATGTTTCTACTCCCATTGTTGTCAAGCATTTTAAATGAGTGTTTTAAATTAAATTACTCATTTGTCACCCACCCTCCCTTTCACCTGAATTTATTTTCACAGTGATATACATTAATTTAGAATTTTAAAAATGAGGGCAATTAATGGAAGTCAGGGCAGTTATTGAACTCATGGCCACAACAGGTTACTCTTCATACTCTAAAGCTGATTAAAGGTATATTTAACTTTAGTTGGGTTTAGTTTGTGACAAATGTCCAGAGTATTTCTTGCCATCAGAAGATTACTATCATTTTCCTGATTGCCTCCCCTTTCCTGGCAGACAAAAACAACGAAATATAAAACTGCTTTCTCTGTGATGTCTCTTAATGTATGATAACTTCAACCATGTAGTAGTAGCCCCTTGCCACTGTAGAGGCTGAGAATTGATTTTTATCCTACTCACAAGGTAATAATTATTTATTCTTTTGCTGTTTCACGGACACTGGCAGAAGACATGGATTTCCTGGATCAGAGACAAAGGACTTAACTATTCAATGCACAGGAAGCAGCATGAGCATCAGCATATGTACATAATTATCCCCTTACTTCCATGTCCCATGGGGGCAGTGTAGAGGGACTCAGGTGAATGCTAGGTATATAGTTGGTTTGTGATGCGCTAAGGAACACTGAGTTTGAAGAACCCTCCATTTTATTATCAGCAAGTTTACTTGCTCTTTGTTCAGAGGGAGATGTTACCTCATTCTTCAAGCTTGGTAGCTGCAAATACAACCCTGAGAAATGGCCTATGTAATGAGTATTGCATTCTTGGCATAACCTGCAAGATGTGTAGGTGTACATGAGGTCCATGAAGTATTGTTTCCCCAATGCTGGAACCCTGACCATCCATAATTTTTCTGTTGCCTACTATATCTAGTTATTTCCCAGATTAAACTTTTGTAAACAACCACCACACTAGACCAGACTATCATAATCCTGTCTGGATTATTGCAACCACTGCCTCCTAACATCTCTGCCTCCGGTCCCCTTTCTAGCCACCCTTCCCCATTTCCCCCCTTTCTAAAACAACAATTGGCCATCTCACAGAACCTTAGTGGTTCACCACTGAAAGCTTAAATTCTTTAACATGGTATACGTATACAGGGCCTGCATGATCTGGTTGAATCTCTTCTTCCACCCTTTCCCTTCTTTGCACTCAAACTAGCTGTAGTGAGCAGTATTTATTCTGTAGGCACCCCTTCTATTCTTGTTCTTTGCCCTTCTAGAATGCCCACTATCCACGGACATGATTTTGCTTTCTGAGTTGGTATCCCTGTAGTGGAATTTCTTTCCTACAACCTATCCTGATGGTTTTAGTTAAATCCTGTCATTTTTTTGGCCAACCTACATTAATTTGTACCACCTTCAGTGCTTTTCTAGAATCCATCAGTTAGTACAGTGTATTGTACTATCCAGTTTTTAAGATTCAGTATAATCTAAAACCTCATTAAATCGACGTCCAATAGTAGCTTATTTTCATCTGATTGTTTCCTATGTATGTTTTATCTTAAACTAGATTGAAAATTTATTTTGGTAGAGTTAAGATGACAGTTAATTGTTTTATTCTTTTGATATTGTAACTTCAGTTGTTTTGGGTTCAAGATGAATTACCGTATTTCCCCATGTATAAGACACACCCTTTTTGAAAAATTTGGGGTCTAAAAACTGGGTGCATCGTATACAGTGGCTGTAGATTTCAAATGCCATAGAGGTAACTGAGGATGAGGCAATATATGTAGACAGTGATTCGTCATCAGACGCAGATGAGGACAAGCTAATGGTTGGGAGTTTTGACAGTGATGAGGAGTTGTATGAATTTTATGACGAATAAAACTTGAGTTCAATAACTTTATGTAATACACTTTTTTTCAAATTTCGGGCCCGAAAATTAAGGTGCGTCTTATACATGGGAGCGTCTTATAAGGGGGGAAATACGGTACTCATATCTTAGATTCTGTTTTATGGGCAGTAGTGTTTCAGTTCATTTATTTAAAGAAATTCTTGATAGGAATTTCAAATTTGAGTCACTACAGAGAATTTATTAAGTGATGTGACTGATACAATTTCACAATAAACTAGTATTTTATAATAGTGTTTTTTATTCCCTGTAGAATGACAGGACTAAATTCATTGGTCTATACTAAAACTGCTTTTGTTTTTTGCTGTACTTTTACAGGCATATACTAGTGTCTCTAAGGCTTCACTTAGCCTTGCAGATCACAGAGAACTTGGAAAGATGATGAATACGATAATTTTTCATACAAAAATGGTGGATTCCTTGGTGGAAATGTTGGTGGAGACATCTGACCTCTCCATATTTTGGTATGCTTTAATTTTCTTTAAATCAGAATTTGAAATTTTTAGTATCCAAAGGTATCTTTCTTCATTTGTTTTTTCAATATTAGTATAGTCCTAAAGACAGTTAAGTAATAATGAACTCTTAAGAATAGAGGGAGGGCCGGCCGAGTGGCTCAGTTGGCTAAGAGCCCACTCAAGAGTGCGAACTCTGAGCAACAGTGGTTCGAGTCCCGGCCCGAGCTGAGTTGCCTTTGAGCTGCCAACAGGTGGCCGGATGGCTCAGCTATAAAAAAACAAACAAAAAAAAGAATAAAGGGAGTAGTGGACGAAAAAATGTTTACCAAGTTGGAACTTTATGTCTTATTTTTAATTCTCTATTAAGAGCAACTTTTTCTGGTGTGAATTTATTTTTTATACTTTTTTTGAGGAGGTGAAAAACAGTCTCTTCAAATTGTCTTAAGGCCCTCTTGCATCATTAGAGTAAGGGGGAAAAGTTGTGGATCAGAGTTAAATAGAGCAAATGTTGGAAATAAAATACCAAGTAATTTCACTCTACATTATTAAATTAGACATTAATATTGTGGTGACGTGGTAACTACTCCTTCCATTGTGCTCCACTTTCCTTTGCTTCTAGCATAGCCCCTTTGGTTATACTTAGTAGTTTACAAGTATTTGCCCCTTTCTTTCTCTCCACATAATGTGGTCCTTGAAGAAGGTCATGTTTTTGTTTCCTTAGTATTTAACATAAGTAGGTACTTAACAAATGTTTGAATGAATAAGTGAACTTGATTGTGATCATACTAGTAATCAATGGGATCAGGATTCAAACTCAAGTATTCTGGCTCCAAGCTATACAATATCAACTCTATTTCTAGTTTTGACCTTTTTTCTTTTAGGGAAGCTGAGTGGAATAACCTAGAATATCCCTTTATTTCTAAAATGCTGGGATAATCTCAGTAGACAGTGATAGTAGTTTCTGTGCACTGAATAGCTGTCATTGTGATAAGCCTCTCATTGCTTTAACTTTGGGAAATAATCCAACCCATACTGATTTTGGCAGTTTGTTAGGGTTTAATTAGCAATATTGCAGAAAAAATCTAACTTACCAGTCAGGGAAGGCATCAGGGTTCTCTTAAAAGGAACTCATAAAGCCCAATACATCGTATGTGGAAATTTACAAGAAATTTTAAGATTATTTGGAACCCTAGACTATTTTCTGACCCAAACCTTCTTTGGAAAGAAAATGGAATATTTTATGTTTACATATTTTTGAGCTACAGAAAGGTTCTTATTGTTAAAGAATGATACAGCAATAAGAAAGTCCTCTTTCATTTCTTGGAAATGGAAGCAATTTGAGAAATGTTTAAAATTTTTAATTTTCAGTCATTTAATTTTCTTATAATCTATTTTCTTATAATCACATTCTTTGTCATATCCAAAATAAAGACATGCTTACTATTTCTGTTTATCTTATTCTGAGATGTACTATATTTTATCGACTCATGTTCTTTTACATTTAATATCTCAACTCTGTAAGTAAGTTAAAATTGATGGTGTATCATTGTTTGACAATGTTTCTCTGGTTTTTTTGTTTGTTTGTTTTAAGATTTTATTGGGGAATTGGGGGAGGGGAACAGTGTTGGGGAATTGGGGAAAGGGAACAGACAAGTTGCTGTCCTTTTGTTCTTCAGTCTAGTTGTGGAGGACCTCGCTTCACTGGCTCATGTTGGTATTATCATTGTGCTCTTCCCAGGTGAGGCAGATTGGTCCCCGGTCACTGGACGGCCACTCAGGGCAGCTCTTGGCAGCTCACGCCCGCCGCCAGCTGCTCACAGTAGCTTACGGGAGCCCACTGCAGCTCCACTGCAGCCTGTGCCGTCGCTGGTGACTCACAGCAGCCCAGCTCTAGGTCGAGCTGTTGTTCACCATCTTAGCTGTAGAAGGCGCAGCGTCACTGGCCCTCATGTGGGATTTGAACCTGGGCCCTGCTGCTCAGAGCTGGCGTCCCAAGCCAACTCTTAGCCAATGCGCCTCAGCCGGCCCAATATTTCTCTGTCTTAGTGGTACATAAAATAATGGTGTTTCTTACAATTGATAGTGACTTAGCTTTCTTGAAATTTGATGATGTGAGATTTGAATGTCATATATTTATATGCCATAGATATGGTTTATTTTCTGTTTAAGTTTTTATTTTAAAATTTTTTACTGTTATACAAATAATATTTTTATTACTCTGGAATGATTATTGGTGTGTAAGAAATACTCTGGAAAAATAACTATTCTCTTGTTAAGGGAATAAATACTAACAGTTGGCAGCTTGCATTCACTTGAATCAAATTAACTATAAGATACTATATCATGAAAATTTTATTTTAACTGTAAAAATAGTTATTCTAATTTTTAATTTGTTTTCTTATATAGTTTTTACAGTCGTGCTTTTGAGAAGATGTTTCAACAGTGTTTGGAGTTACCCTCTCAGTCAAGATACTCAATTGCATTTCCACTACTTTGCACTCATTTTATGAGTTGCACACATGAGCTGTGTCCAGAAGAGGTAATTTCAGAGTAGTACTGTTATTTATATGATATGCAGAATAAACTAAACCAAACATGTAGCCAACCACATGTTCACAAAGTCATGATTACTTAATGTGTATCTTCCCGTCTAATACATCTCTATACAGACTCAGAAGAATGCTTGAATAGATAGATATATGATATAGATATAATAGATGCAATATATATTTTGATGGATGAATATACATATGTGTTTAGATGAACATATAAAGTCACTTGGAATTACCTTTATTAAAATAAATTGTGGGTCAGATATTAATAAAAATATGTTACATATAGTAATTGATATTGTGTGCTTGCTTTTCCACTTAAAATCATTGAAAAGACTTGAAAATTGAATATATAGATTAGTGACTAAATATAAACATGTCGAAGAGAAATTTTACTGACTTGTTAATACAATAGATATAGTAAGTAAAATCTAGATTTGCTGATATTTGTGAGACATACATAGGCATGCAGGGACAGTTATTGGGTAATTGAACTCAGTAATTTTATTGATACCAGGTATGTATAAAAAATGTACTTAATATTTCTTCTAATCTTTAAGGATGAAATAGCAGTTTTAAATGGGTAAGAATATATATCAAAATTAAATGGTGTAATTTAACTTAATGTTGAGTCTCTACTTGGAACTACAGAACTGATAAAGAAACTTACAGGAAGCAGTAGCATTATTATAATAATATCTTTGAGCATTGGGTAACAGCTCTTGCAGATTGTATTCTAGTATTCCATTGGGAGCAGACCCTGAGAAAGAGATTAACCTGCAGGAAGTTTATTAGGAAACACTTCTAAGATTAATACCTGTGAGGTTATTAGCACCCAATTTTAATAAATTCATAGAGTTTTTAGATTTAATAGATTTTCTTCCAAGCTTTATACCTAAGATATGCTATTACTTTTTCTTCACCGTTATCCTTCCCTTTAAAGTACACATCAAATCCTCTTAATTTTGTGTGGTATCATTTCTTGAATCCATTTGCTACTTTCCATTGCTTTTGTCACTACTGTAGCTCAGCTTTTCAATATTCTTTATGTGTACTCCTGAATACTTTTCCTGCCTTCAATAGTTTTCCTGCACCATCTAATACAATGCCACCAGAGGGCCTCTTTTCATTCTTAAAGAATCATCAGTGGTTTTCCATTGCATATGGAGGGAGTAAAAATTTCTCAGCCAGGCATTTAAAATCCTCAACAATTTGATCTCTACTCCATCCCTTTATTGTGTTTAAAAAAAAAAAA